GTGTCCCACTATTGACCTTGTTCTCATTTCCTGATTCCTAAAATTTATGCAAATTTCCCTGTTAGATTAAAACAGGACTGATTCAGCCTACTGCGCAAATTTGTGCGAATCATGAAGTCTGTGCAACTCAAATTTAGGATGGAGATGAATGTCAACTCATGTCCAGCAGTACTTTCAGTAGTCACACACTCATGCACAAACTCACATTCAGAACTTTGAAGAGGGCTTGCATGAACGTTTTGCAAGCAAAAACAAAATCCTCATGCAAGCCCCCGTTTCTGATCCCGGCTGGGTTGGAAAACACATAATTAAATTGACAAACTGTGGTTAACAAGAAGTGAGTGCTTCTGACCTCTTTGTGCTGAAACAGAGGAGGAGAGCCAGTTCTGCGAGCCCGACATTAACTTGCTGCCATTCTCTACCCCAGTCATCTGCTGACTGAGGAATCTGCTTCACTGTGCTTCATGGAAGGGCCAGCCCTGACAGCCAGCTTACACATTTTTTGAGGAACTCATTGCTAGGCTTTTCATAGAGAAAGAAGTCTTGTCGATTATTTGTCATGCACGAGGCTAACCTCTCAGCAGGGTAGGGAATCTCTGCCAATGTGTTGACAGGTAGGTCAAGCTTGCCTGATGTACTTTGCAACATGTTGCCATGCAGTAGCAGCACGCAACTGTTGATTAGCCTGACTTCGCGGGCTTGTACTCCCTCACACCCCTTTCAGAAAAATATTAGTCATGGATCTATTTCAGGCTGTTCCCCCACCCCCACAACACTTCATAATCTATGGCAGTCCTGAAACGCGGTTCCATTTGCATTGCAAGGAATTCATCCTTTTGTTCCAGTCTTCGAGACCAACAAAGGTGACTGATGGAGACGCAGAACACAAGGTGACCCAGTTGCCACTGCCATGCTGACAAGTCAGCAAGCATTGTGCTCTTTGTTCCTTATTCTGTTGTTGAAACTTAACTGTTAAAATAGTTAATAGTTTATCTGTTTTATCTGATCCTCTTGGATCAGATAAAAAATTCCTTTGGTCCAACCTTCCCAAATCTACTGAGATGTCTTGGACTATAAATCCCATCATCCCCTTGACAGCATGGCTATTGACCATGATGACTAGAGATGATGCTGGACACTGCCCAACGGGGAAAACCATAGCCTTGACTATATGCACTTTTGCTGGCAGGGTGATGTCTCTGCTTTTTAGTATTCTGTCTAGATTTGCCATAGCTTTCCTCCCCAGGAGCAAGCGTCTTTTAATTTCTTGCCTGCAGTCCCCATCTGTGGTGATCCTGGAGCCCAGGAAAATAAAATCTGTCACTACCTCCATTTCTTCCCCATCTGTTTGCCAGGAAGTGAGAGGACCGGATGCCATGATCTTAGTTTCCTTAATGTTGAGTTTCAAGCCAACTTTTACACTCTCCTCCTTCACCCACATCAAGAGGCTCTTTAGTTCCTCTTCACTTTCTGCCATTAACAACAAAAATAATGATTCACGGAAAAGCACGCCTTTGGAGTCACTGTCAGTTTGCGTGTTTGGTCGAACAGCAATCCACAATGCAAAGAGAGGACGTGGAAACAAGCAGTTTTATGATCATATGTTTAAAATGGGGACAGGAAAGGCAGTTATTTGGATGGACATTCTCCTGATCTGGCAGCAACTCCTTATTGTACAGAAATTCAAATGACTTTAAAAGCAGGAGTAAAAAACAGTGGGGGTGGGACACCCACAGGGCCACCCATGAAAATAAGAAAGAACAAGAAGAGGACTCTGAGCATCACAGAAAAGCAGCCCGGGAAACATGGCAGCAAGTTCTGAGAGCATCCCATTGATTTTAGTGAGCAATGTGTTGTATTGTGTTCCTGGGAAATGAATCAAACCTGGGACAAATCCTCCAAAAGCTAAAAGATCATCCATGTGATTACAAAGATGATTTGTAAATTGCACAAGCCATCTGGGAAACCTTTAAATAAATGAGCATAGGTATCAAGTCTTCCATCAAGAATTATGATCTGCTCCTTCAGCATGTCTTCAAACTGAGTTTTAATTAATATTTTTTCTTTCTTTCTTGAGCAAAATGATGCCAGTCAGCAACTGACAGAAAAACACATGCATACACTCACACACGCATTCACATCCATGGACACACCTACACATACCCCAAGGCATCCATTCACATGCAGAGACACAAACAAAAACTCTGTACTTGGAGGGTGGAGCCTGCAAAAATCTCTCTTCCCCATTTATGTAAATAGAGGATCAATTTCACATCTAAGCCAATATGGTTTCGCTTTTATTTATATGCAAATACATGCAGATGCTGTTGATGCTCCTGTGACTGCTCAGTCAAGTTTTTGGCTAAGATTAACTAGTACTTTAAGATGAAGTGGGTGATTGTCAGGCCCCAAAGCATTCACATCCATGGACACACCTACACATACCCCAAGGCATCCATTCACATGCAGAGACACAAACAAAAACTCCCTTATAGCACATGTGTGCAAAGCATTCACACCCAAGGACCCACTCACTGGTCACTTCCTGAGTCGTCTTCTGCTGCTCCCCAAAGACCCATGGGCAGATCACCAAGGAAGAGGCCTTCTTAGCAGGGGCACCCCAACTCTGGAACCTGCTCCCGAAAGAGGTTTGCCTGGTGCCGTCTCTCTATCCTTTTTGGTGCCAGGTGAAGACTTTTTTATTTACCTGATATTTTAATTGTTAAGATAATTTTTCAAGTTTTTTATGGTATTTATTACACTGTAGTGTTCCTGTGCCTTTCATTGTGTCTTCTTACTGGTTCAAGAACTGAACTTATTGTGAGGTTTCATTGTGGAGTTTCTCTGTGTCTGATTGTTGTGATTTTATTGTTGTAATATTTGCTAATTTGCTATTTTTATTTTATTATGCATATTAGTATTATATTATTATATCCTGTAACCCACCCAGAGAGCCATTTTGACAAAGGGGCAGGATAAAAATCAAACAAACAAACAAACAAATAAATAGTATTATTTGTTAAATTTATATCCGGCCTTTCCACCCAAATGGCAATTGAGATGGATGTTTGTTCCCATAGACACTCTCGGTTAGATGAACCAGCTAATGTTTTCTGAAGGTTGCAGGGAGAAGCATTGAGGGCATATAGACAGTCCTAACTCTGAAGCTAGGTATGACTTAGGGCTGCCCTAGGGCGAGGAGGGCAAATGGGAGGTGAGAAGTTAGCTCCTCTGTTTGTGGCACGCCATCTTTGCTTCAGGAGAAGCACTGCTGGGCCATCCCACAGGCCTAGTAGCTACTTTAGCATTCCTTTTCCTAGAATGAGCAAAGGCCTCTGGGAAGTGGACAGGCAAGGCATGAGAGCACCAGCCCTCTCCCACTGCTGTCCCCCAGCACCAAGGACGTGGGCCATGTTTCTGCTGCCCATGAAGTGGTATATACCACTGGTACCCTTGTTAGGCATGGGCCAGTTTCCATGGTGGGCATGGATGGGCACCTGCCAGAGGCCCACAGCCCAACAGTTCCCTGGACTAAGACCTCGCCTTCCCCATGGTAGCCTGCTTGTATACCTGCCTTTCACCCTGGCAAGAAGGGGAGCTCTAAATGCCCCCAGGGAAGGGGTGGAGATGCAACAGCAGCTGGCAAAAATGGTGGTGTGAAGACGGGCTCCCTAAGGGAGGGGGCCTACTTCAATCATCTCAGCCAAGGGCTCTCGAGAACCCGCAACTGCTCCATCTTATCCTCCCAAAATGTGTCGAGTCTCCCTTTTAAGCCATTGAATCCAGTGGCCCACAAGCAAATACCACATTTCTTTATTTAAAAAAATGACTAGCACATTTCCTTCCCATTCTTCAGCTGACAAAGCTCCCGAAGTGACTTAAATGAGATCAACAAAAATACCAAATCAGAAAACAGTAGCAAGTGCCTGCGGTCTTTCAGGAGCCTATGTAAGGGGCTTAAAGGGTTGGTGATTATCGGATTTCACCTTGTCTGGTGCTGCTGCTTCTTCCACAGCTGCTTCTCCTCCTCTTCCACACAGAGCAGTTGGTTCTGGTGGTTTTTTAAAAAATATCATGCTAACACCATGCCCTATCTATCAACAGTGGCTTTATTTCAGGAAGAGATTCCTGCTAGAAATATATTCTCAGAGTCAATGGGCACCCAAAAGCCTCATTTGTCTACAATTACAGCATAATCCAGATTCATACCCCCATTATCTTTGCTTGAGTAGCACAGCTTCCCAAAGCAAATCGGATGAATTAATTTGTATAGATTTATTTTTGTCAGTGTAGGTCTTTGTAACAACACCCTGTCGGCAAGCTGCACCCTTTGTTCTATAGGATGCCTTTGCAGAGGGGCCTCAGTCACGCCCAGGGACAGTGTGGCGTTGGCACTGTGGCCCCATCTCAGGGTGTGTGCTTGTCCGCAGCACCCCGGTCTGGGCAGCACCAGAGTCGCTGTGGCCCCAGCCGCTGCTGCTCCCAGCCCTGGCACACCTGTCTGGAGGGTGCAACAAGAACTGCCACCCCGTCCATTCCCCTTGGCTCACCGACATGTTGCTCACAGTCTCCCGTCCCCGTTCCTCGCCCTCCCAATTTTCATGCTTACTCCCATGCACCCCTTCGGTAGGGGGATGTTTTCCCAGGTGCCCATACCATGTGGATATTGAGCCCCCTAAAGACTAAACTAATGACCAAAGCATAGCTCACTCTCAAGCATATTTCAGACGACTGGGTATCTGCGCCTGCCTGTCACTGTGTGTCGGCAGTGCCGGGTTAGCCATGCAGGCAACCAAGAAGTTTGTGCAAATCCAACCATGGTCAGAGTGGGTTTAGCAGTTAGCACCGCATGCAGCTGAGTCATGATCATGATCTGCCTGAGGTGCATCCTTCACATCCGTGTGGATGTTCACCCAGAACGCCTTTCCTCTCCAATCAGCCTTTTCAGACACAAGCTGCTGTGAGCTCAGAACGGCGCGATCGTGCCAAGTTAAAAGCTACCCGACTTTTCTTCTGCACGGTTGTTCTGACAGCGAGGGATAAACCCAACCTTCCTGAGCTGTACAACTGACAGCTCTTTCCCCCTCCTTCATGCACTTCGGTGTTTTCAAAGTTTCCGGGCTTGCTTTGGAGCATTCCTTTGCCTTTGAGGAGTTGACTGTGTGGGAGTCTTTGGGGCAAGGGTTGAACTGTGTAATCAGACACCAAATCCACAGGAAAGGAGAAAAACTGTGCGCACCGGTAAGTTTCACAATCGTGTGGCGGGGGGAGTGAACAGAGGCAGTATATTATTTCTGGCTTGTATTCTCACACCCTTATTCCTGTAAGCACTTTCTGAAGTGCTCGGTAACTTTGCGAAAAGGAAACCAGACCTGAAGTTATGCAGCCACAGAAGGCCTGAGAAGGAACAAGCAGGTCAGGTTTGCATGATTATTTTTCAATTCTCACTACGACTTTTTCCCTCTGCACTAATTGTGAGTCACGTCTCCTTTGTTGCTTGTCAGAGTCAAACTTTTACAGAAGATTTTAAAAATGCCTTGCCTGTTTCTTGGTGATTGCCTGTGGAACAGCTGGATTTCCTGGGGATTCAGAGTGACGGTTTGGGGGATTGTTTTGTTTCTTTGCCAGCCTGTTGCTAAATTACACATGGAGCTTTTAAAGCAGGATTGTAGGGCATGTCGCGGACAGGAAATGATATTTGTTTCTTCTTGTTCTTGAGAGAAATTGTCCTTACCAATCTCACTGCTATTTCCCAATTCACTGTCACTCGTGGCCTTTTAAGTTATGGTTAATACAAAATGCATCTACTGAGTTAACAGTGCTTTTGTACTGGGTCTGTTTTTAAGATATTGATCTGTGCTGATGTGTACAGGAAGTACTGCGGTAACTTTAAAAAACGGAGAGGAAGCTGTAGCCTGAAATTGTTTTGCTAAGGAGAGAAAAAGAGACAGTCAAGGGTGATTTAAACTGGATTCCCCTCCAGTTTCCCAGGAAAAAGCCCAGTGGGCATGCCCTCGGAGAATGCCAAGCCATGCTCCTAAGGGCTCCTGGCGTGTCGTGAGCAAGCCAAGCGCCAGTGCGTACAGCCTGTTCGCTCCTGCTTGGTGAGCAGCTAAGCAACTCCCAAACCTTTCGTTTCACATGCCATCCTAATTGGAGGCCTGTTGTTGTCACGTCCTTTGGAGCTCTTCAAGATGTCCATCCTGGAGCTTTGTGCATCTGCATGGTGGAGATGGTATTTTGAGCATCACCTATCAGAAACAGCTGCCCGGGCAGAAGATCCATGGCAGTTCATAGTCCAGTCCTGACCTACCTCCTGTCCAGGGAGATCAGCTAAAGAACCACTGTGGTATCCCCTAGGGTCTCCTTCCTCCTGCTTAGCCAATTAGCCTTAAATCAGGCAAGAAGCCAGGAACCCTGGAGGACTATTAATTCCTTTGCTTAATCTCAATCCATGTATGTCCACATGCGTTTTCCTTTGTGCTCTCTGCTCGTACCTCATGACTGCTCCCAGAACTAACCAAGAACGCTGAGCACTCTTGGAGCACTCTGGAATATTTCTTGAGCCTTCTGCACTGGATGCAGGATATACTGCTGAGGTGTGCTGGCATGCCACCTGTGCTACCTGTGCCTGGCATGCCTTGTCATTTGCTTCTGTTGTTCCACTTCTGCAAACCTGCATGGGCAGGGCCAGTTTGCCTGTGCCACCTTGCAGCCTGACATACCTGCAGAAAGCTCTGTGTTGCACCCCAGGGCAGTCCTTCATGCTGCTTTCAGCTTCCACCCATTCCAGCAGCACAAGCCAAATCTTCCAGGAAAGAAGGAAGTGAAAAGGAAGTCCATTTTGGTCTACTGGGACTCCTTCCATGAGCACAAGCAGCTCAAGAACCCCAGGCTGTTTACTGGGCTTGCCACCTTAACTGGGGGAAATTGTGTTGTGATTGCATCCCTTACAAGTCAACACCATCAATGCTACTCAAGTTTTCCACTGTGATGTAACTCAGTTCTGTATAGACAGGTTCATTATAACACTACTTGAATTCTGTACGGTAATGTGTATATAAGCGAAGAACAGACAGAATTCTGCTCTTGTACCCATTATGCCATATGGGACATATTGTCCGCTCTGGTTCTCTCTTTTCCTCCATGCAGTCCACATGGCAGATTGTACACCGAAATGATATAAGGTAAAGAAAGGAAACCACAAAGGTTTTTTGTGCTTTCAGTTAAGGAAACCTTTTTGATGTCACTGTACGTGGCAAATGCATGTCCGTGCATGTTTGTTTGAATGAGACACTGTACCTTACTGTGGAACTGAGACTGTCCTGGAAGTGAGATCAGTAAAGGAAGTCACTACTAGCCAAGTGTTCCCCAGGTGCCGAGTCTGAGTCTGTCTTTGAAAGTACAAGTTTTCGCTTGCAAAAGACAGTCTGGCCTAGTTTGCACCTCCTGCGTTCTTCAGCATTGTCTGACTGGAAATGCCATGCTGGGAATAGCCCCTTTTAACTGTGCCAAGAATTCAAGAGGATAATTTTTTTTGCAGAGTGAATTCTGTGCTGCCTACAGCTAGTCTCATTCTGGTTTAAGTGCATTGTGCTGTGCTAGAAAGCAATTTGTGTTTTGTTGCTGGTGCTCTTGAGGAGTCTGTTCTGAATTTCACCAAGTTTTGACACCTCTGAGGGATTCACTGCATGAAACATTTACCAGCTGCTTTACTGGGGCTTCTCCTTCCATTTTCTTTGCTGGGTGACAAGTGTGTCCCTTGCACTGGCTTTTAACTCCGAGATTTGTATTTCTCTGTTTTCCTGTATTTTGTGTTAACCAAGCGCAAGGTGGTGCTGTAACCCAGCTGCAGTGTAGCAGATTTGCAACAATGCAGGAGGCTTTTATTGTGGTCTGAGATGTAAGAGCTCAGTGTCCTCACTTTAAGAACAGCCTCCAAAATGGCTGGAAGATACAAGAGAGGAAGGGTTGGTGGTGGGAGTTATGAAAAGGCCCTCACACCTCTGCGCATGAGGGCTCACAAGCACACAATAAATGCCTTGTGTAGCAAATCCCTTCCACCATGGGACTCTCCCATAGACTACTGATAAGGCAGCCAGGTAGGCCGCTGCTCTAAGCCTCGTTAACTGGGACGCTACCCAGGAGAACCAGAGCTTTTTCTGCTGTGGTCCCAAAGCAACCAGCAGATGCTTCAGGAAAGTGTGTAAATCCCAGATGCATCCCAGTCATAAATAGGCATGAGTTCCTTGGGGCAGCTTTCAGGTAAGTGTGCAGAGTGCTCACACTTCACGGTCACTTATGGCTACAGTTTTATGCACTGGCCTTCCTCAACTGGTGCCTCCAGATGCTGTGGACTTTGCCTCCCATTAGCCCTGACCAGCATGGGCAATGGCAAGGAATGTAGAGAGCTGTGGTCCCAAACACGGGGAGGGCACTCAGTTGCGGAAGGCTGCTAGGCAGAATTCACTTTGAATACATCCCATTGAAAGCAGGTGCCATGCCCTTTATTCAGTATCATTTAGATTGGGTGTTAGGGATACACTTGCTAGCTTTTCACCTGGATGGAGAGAAATCCTCATCCAGTGTCCAAGCCTATGAGTGGCTTGAGAAAGCTGGAGACTGGCCTTTCCTCCTCTGTGCCTGCCCTTGCCTGCTGCAAGGAGGCACCTGCCCGTGCTACTCTGCTCTGCTGGCTTAGCTAGGGGAATAACTAGAGGGAAGACCAGGGAAGAAAGAGATAGGATGGGTTGGTCCCAGCTGTTTCCCTCTCTTCTTCTTCCGTCACCTGGTTCACCCAAGGCTCTTGCTGATCCAGAAGGGGCTCAGTTTGTGGTCTGAGAAGGACGAACTGTGCCAGCTCAAGCCCTGGGCCTGATATCTGGCAGAGGAGGGTCAAGTAAGATGCAAACCTTGCCTAAATAAAATTGGTCTTCAGCCATGACTGTCGATCTGTTCTCCAGCTCAGGCCAGCTACAAGCTAGGAACATAAAAGGAGCCCTCCTGGATCAGCCCAAGGGGTGTTGTCCTGTCTGCAACCAGATGCCTCTGGAAAGCTCAGAAACAAGACAGTGCCAGCAACCCTTTCCTGCCATGATTTATCCCAGTGTCTGGTGTTCAGAGATAAACTGCCTCTAAGCTTAGATATTCTATAGCTAGATAGACCTAAACTCCATGAATCCATCTAATCTATTCAAAAGGCCATCTAAGCTAGGTTTATACAGTCAGGAGGTTATTGCTGGGGTCATTTCAACCTCACCAGCTCCCCTTCATCCATGTTGATCTTCACTGTAAGATGGCCTCCATTTCCAAGGCATGATCTCATGCTACCAACCACCTTGTGGCTGGTAGCAGTGATAGCTGTGAAACAAATTGCATGCAGAAGCTGTCGCATTTAGAACTTACTTCCTTAACCACCATGGCCACCTCCTCCACAACTCAGAGATGCCTATGAGTACTACAACTGGAAATGTGGACAGTTAGAGCTGTTGAAAAAGTGTGTAACTATCTCTACTCAGAGCCAGGATGGCGTGGTGGTGAGAGAGTTGGGCTGGGGATCTGGGAGAGTCAGGTTTTAGTCCCCACTTGGCCATGATATTCAGTGGCCAACTTTGGGCCAGTCACTCACTCTCAGCCCAACCTACCTCACTGGGTTGTCATTTTGAGGATTAAATGGAGCTGTATAAGTCACCTTGGACTCCATCCAAGAGGCAGCATAGAAATCATAGAAAAAAGGCACCATATAAATCATAGAAACATCATAGAATAGTAGAGTTGGAAGGGGCCATGAAGGCCATCGGGTCCATCCCCCTGCTGTTGCAGGACACCAGTTTACACCATCCCACTCAGATGGTTGCCCAGTTTCTTTTTGAGTGTCTCCAGTGTGGGAGAGCCCATGACCAATGTAAGCAATGTAACCCAAATGCAGTGCAATAATGCAAATAATAATAATGCACAAAACTTCTTCAGTGTCATACAGTTCAGAATACTGGTTTCTGTTAGCAACTGCTGTATTGACCATATATTCTCCCAAACGGGCAATACCCAGTCCAATGAAAAAGATCATCTTCCTGTCAAGACATAAAGCCAAACCATCAGTGCAAACCAAACATTGGCATGTCTGGCGGTGACTTCCGTGGCTATGGAAGCAGGACACTAGAAGTACTTAATGCAGATATTGTATATTTCTATACATTTTGCTAAGGCAGGTATATCCATATTTTCAAATACACATTGTATGG